TTCAAGTTTAAATGAATTAGTCATTAAGTGTAAGACGAGTAGCTAGTATGTGCAGTATTTTGCTCTCTACCCAACTATTGGGAGTGGATGAAGCAAAAAGAAAAATTCAGGCACTATAATAGTGTGCGTTGAAGTATCACTTGAAGTTAAAAGATTAGTGCTTAGTAGCAGCAAAATTTATTAACATTAAGTGAAAAGATTAGAGCCTAGTGGCTGCAAAATCTATTAGCATTTCCAACTTGTCTAAGTCTGAACACTTATTGTTTCCACACTTGAGTGTGAGACATGAAGAGGTGCTTTTTTGTATGATCCCTTAGCTAGACTAATGCTTTTGAATGACGTTTACCACTAAGCGCAAAAGTTGCAGCATAATAATAAAAAGGTCAAAGCAGACAAGGTTGTTATGACTCTAAGAATTTGACGCATCGCTCATGAGAGCATTATGTTGAATTAGACTCTTTAGCCTAATTTGCGCTTAAGTTACTTTAGGAGCTGTCATATATTGATAGCGTATTCTCTCATTCTTGTGGATAGTAGAATTAATTGCAACTAACTATGAAGTGAGAAACATAGATGGCAAAAGAAGTTTCGTCATATTTCAACTAGATGTAGTAAAGTGTATGGAGAATAAATTGACTTAAAGGTATAGGGGATTAACACTTACTAGTTAAATTTACGACTTAGAAACACTTGATATCTCCATGACATCCTTTTATGATCTAGTGAACATGAATTAGTCGTGAGTCATTACCTAGGTGGGCCTAAACCTTTACACTTGTCTGTGAGAACTCACACATTAGGATGATTGAAATTAGTTTATGACATTGGTCATGAACTGGTGGCTTATTATACTTAATCACATTAATGAGAAGATGATATGGACGGTTTAAGTAGGCCCTCTCGGGCCCACTCGCTTGTAACATCCTGCTCTCATGTGAATGTGTAACTTTGTTCGCAAGGGTTGCGCACAAGTAAGTAGGAAAGCCGCAGAAGGGCATTTGTATTGGCCCATTTAGTCCACTATGATATTTGTGACTGGATATGTGTAAGGGTATGATAGCTAGCCCAATCTCGACACATTTATAGATTATGATACGCATCTTAGTCAAGACTATTTGATCTCCCACAAGTCAAAAGTTTTGAGATGATTTTTGACATTGCACATATGAGGTCGAGATCAATTAGATAAGAGCTTTCGTGCTTTTAGTTTTAACTAAGGCAGTGAGTATTTATTTGAGTTATTTTTCTTAGAAAGCTCTATGAAGAGAAATTGATGCTTAAAAAATTGATTATTCCTAGTACTCAGCAACACAATGGTGTAGTAGAGATAAGGAATTAAGTATTGTTTACGTTAGATAGATGATGGCGCAAAATGTTTTCCAATTGGGAATTGCACTTTAGTTTGTTGCCTATATCCCTAACTAAGTGCCCTCCATATCAGTTTTTACACTCCATTTAAGTAATGGGTTAGCAGAGAGCCATTTATGGGCGATCTGTAACCATCAAGCAGCTCATCTCTATTTTACGTCTCATAAGGTTACGCAGTTAAGACCTAGAGTTCTATAGCGCATTATTGTATGCTGTCTTGTAAATGCTTAGGGTCATGTGGCGCATTATTGTATGCTGTCGTGTAAACCCTCTGGGTCATGTGCTTATAGATGAGCAACTTTATGGGAGTGTAACTAAGTCATAAAGTTTTCTTAGTAAAAGTGACGCGAATAGAGTTTTAGAACTCTATAAGATAGAGAATTCTAAGTATGATGCTTTATGTAACCTTGTTGAGAATGGAAAGAAATTTCCAATATCCTAGGGATAGTGGGAGCGACGTACATATCCTAGGGATAGTGGAAACGACGTGCCTACTAGTGGATTACTTCATTAGAGAAGAATACTCTACATTCTTAGTTGCGTGGTAGCGAATATGAAATTTTTTCCACATCATCACTGGGTGATTGAGAGGGAAACATTCATGATTGTTTCGCAAGATGATAAAGAGTCTAGGATAATGCCAAAGGCTCTCTAATCCCCTACTTTAGAAAAGTGGATCAATGTTGCACAGTTTAAGACAAAGTCTTTGAGGATTAACTATTTCTAGGATTTGGTTGACTTTCGATTATGACACGAAACTGTTCTAAAGTTATGTGCGATTTGGATAGTCATTTTTTGAGGCATAAAGCTTGCTAGATACCGAAAAGTCGCACCATTGAGGAAGGTGTAGACCATGAGAAAACTTCCTCCAAGGGAGTGAGGTTACTTCGACTTAGGCTATGATTGACATAAGTTCGAAATATTGATTTGTGGACGTTATGACCCAACTTCTCATTGTAGAATTGGATAAGTAGATCCACAAGGATTTACCTTCTGCTTTTATGGTGAAAAGTTAGAAGCACAAAAAGCTTACTAGCTCTAATAAATCTTTTACGGCCTAAAACAGTTATCCAAATAATGGTTCTTAGATTTCGTCGAGCCATGATGGGCCAACGATGATCGATGAAGACCACTGAGGCATGATCAATAGTCCAAAAGAAGTTTTTTTTACTTACTTAGTCATTATGAGTCAAGAATTTATAAGGTTGTCGCCACCTAGGGTTGGTAGTCCTTTGTTTTAGACATAATGGACATGGGTGATGTAATTTATATGCTCAGATGTACGATCCTTGGAGATTGTTTTGGGAGAATTCTCGATTTGTCTTTGATGACTTACATAAGGAATATCCTAGAATGATTCTAGATGTAAAATTGCAAACTCATTGACTTACCTACTGGTAAAAGGTAGATCCTTAGTTATTGAGTGAATCCTTGGATTGTCTTTAAGAGAAACAGATGACCCATAGTCCTTGATCTTTTTGTTGTGGGATCTTGAAGTACGCTATGTGAGCGTATTCGACATGATGAGTACTTTTTTTTTTTTGGTAAATGGTCAACTGAGTAGTTTAGACATTAACCTTACTCATTAGATTATGGATAAGATGCTTTACTAGTAGTGTATAAATTTGCCCTTTGTAAGATTTAATGCGCTTGTTGGGCGCATCTTGACTGAACGCAAACTGGTTACCAAAATATATTTAAAGAGGTAATTGCGCAAAAGGTAGTGATCTTGAATCACTTCATGTGAAGCACACGTGGTGGATTTTGTTATATATGCTTATCGCAAGAGGTGCTGATAGGGCTTATGTTTGGAATCTAGAATTGCGCAGACTGTGGTTGTGTTTTTTCAATCGATCACTTTTTTTCTTTTTTCTTTTTTGTGAGATTATGGAATATTGATGCTATTATGGTTTGTGTCATAATGATTAGCAGATGATGATGTCAGCAGGCAAGATTGGCTCACTCGCAGGAGCAATCGCCCTTGGCGCTTGGGAGCGAGCAATGATGAGACTAGTGGTTTATTTTATTTGGAGTCAAGAGAGGCTTAAATTATCCACTATGTGTGTCGCCTTGGTTGCAACCAAGATGAGGTCGTGTTAAAGACCAAACATGGATGTTAGTACCCACTTTCCATGTTGTGTTTGTTATAATTAGCCAGATGCGAGATCTCATTTGGCGTATAGAAGGCGAGCAAATAGAGAATTTAGGTTAGGGCCTAGAAAGCGACTAGACTAAGATCTGTACGGTGTATCAAGTATGATGTCACTCTTTGGAAGAGTTACTCCATCGTAGTATGTATTCATACTATATGTGCTTGGCGACCGAGTAATGAAGTGAGAAAATGGATCCCTATTTCCTCATCGTATAAGTCTTACGTGTCATTATTTTTATGACTTTTTACTTATGTACCCTTTTTGTGACCTTTGACTATGTCTTAAGGTAAGGGCTTGATGTTCTGCTACTTTGGTATGTTGTCTGGGATCATGTATGATTCGGCCTTAAAGGATATCACTGGGAAAGCAGTCAATACTAAACTAAATGGCATAAGGGCAAAAAGAAGAGCATCTAGTATTACACCACTGTTGTATATTCACTGCCGGCAACTCACATCGTTCTGTATCAGAGGCAGATTGAGTATGAATATATTGCAAGAATTGAGTGGGTGAAAAATGCTCTCTTGAGGGATTAGAGATGTTGTTTTGAACCGGTGTAATTAGATGGGTCTGGGGTATTTGAGACACTATTTCTATTCTTTTTGGGTTGATGTCCCTATGCTAGCTCATTTTGAGTTTCTAGTATAGAGCTCCCACATACAGGTGTTTCTCAGCAGTCGCACGGTTTATTGGCTAGTATGAGATTGTTCAATATTTGGGGAGATTGAGATAAAGATGTGGCAGTGTCATGCCAACTCATGTGCGAGTGGGAGATGTTGGAAATTGGGCCAGGTATTAGACCCGGATTTAGAAGCTCATGTGGCATGACCCATGACCCATTCAAATTATCCATGTAATTTAAATTTGAATTTTCATGACTACCCTATTTGGATAACCCACCATCTCAATATCTATATCTATCATATCTCATCAAGAGATATGGATAAATGGTTAGAATCTGACCTATATATCTGATACGGTATATGGGATGTGAGATGAATCAAATAACGAATGAATTTTTCCGATACTCTCTCTCTCTAGCTCTCTCCTATTAGAATAACGATGAAACATTTGCACTGTGACTAGAGTGGGTGATAATCATACTGTTGTATCACTCCATTGCTGGGTGTTCTCAATTCATGGTTGTGAAGCACGAGATTTACCCACAAGATTCTTCATTTCGAATTCTATCACATAAGGTATGTTTAGATCCTTTTACCTGCTGCATTATCTGTATCTAACAACATAAAAACATCAAAAAATATAAAAAAAAATGCTACAAACATATAAAGTTATCCAAAAACAAAAAAAAAAGTGCACAAAATGCAATGCAAACAACATTGCATTCATCCCACATCCAATCTATGTATTTTTCTAAAAAAGAATTCCATATCCATAGACCTATTGGATGAAAAGTGATTATGTGTAACTGTAAGTACTAAAAAAAAATATAAAAAGTGGAGAGGATAGCGATAAATTTTAAGACAATAAAGTAATGAACTGAACTAGAACATCAACTGCATTTTGAGCAGCCAACGAGGCGAAGATAGCGGCTTCATTCGACACAGAAGAACCACCACCGGCTAAATCAGACAGCGCTCGGATTGCAATGAAAGGCTTCTTCTGCTGGTGGGAGACTAGTGCCACCGCTGCGCTTTCCATGTCGATGGCGGTTGCATTAAATTTGGAGAAGAGAAATTCTCGATAAGACCGGTTATTGACGAAAACATTAGCACTAATCCCCCTTGTTACCCTTGTCACAATAGGTGTTCTTGGCAAACAAGTAGAGTTTACACATCTTCCCAACTTCATACCCTGCATAAAGTTTTGTTTGATAAGAATTATTATTTTTATTTAGTTTGCGAGTATCAAAATTGAGGCTGCAGTTTATAAGTTGGGTTATTTTTAGATTTATTATTTTTTTGCAGTGAATTTTTTTCAACTTTATGTCAAAATAGTTTACCTTTTAAATCCATTTAGACTAGATAATCCTTGAATTTTTAAAAGAAAAAATTGAAAAACATAAGCTAAGTTTTTTGGACAAGATTTGACTTATTTTCCTTTTTAGCAAAAATTTTTAAATTTTTTACAATTTTCTTTTTAAAATTTTTGAGGATTTCATATTGGGTTTTGTTGAACGGTAGGATTGGTTAATGCCAAAGGAAATGAGTTCTTTTTTAGTGAGTTATTTTCAACCCTGTCAATTTTTTTTTAAAAAAACTTTTTTAAGATCTATTTAGACTAAATGATTCTAAAAATAAATAATTTTTTTAAAAAATATTCACTAAAGATGAAAATATATCAAATTTTATCGAAAAACTTTAAAAGGTTGGCATGTTTTGTCTTCCATGAACTTTTTTTCATTTAAAAAAATAAAAAAATTAGATTCACCTAGCATAAATCGATGTAAAAAGTATTTTTAAAAATCACTATAAGCCAAAAGAAAAGGGAAAAAAAAAAAGCATGGATAAGCAGCTGGCAAACCACAAAGTTGAAATTTGGAGAGGACTAAACTTGCCTCGAGTCTTTTTGCAAGTGAAAAGAAATGATCGTCTACCGTAACCAAGAAGACATGTTGCCAAACTTCTAGAGTTCCGTTCACTGGGAATGTCTCTTCCGGTCGATACCAAATATTGTTTAGAGTGTTATTCGATGATGATTTCCCATTTTTGGTGTCATTGTTGTAGTCGGAAATTTTAATGTAACCCACTTTCCTTGTGTAGTCTCCACTGGCTTCTAATGCTAATTCATCTTCAGGACCATCTCCATACCCTGTACATAATTTTCAAAAAAAAAAACAAAAAAAGAAGTAATTGGTGCATTAATTTGATGTGCTATTGTATGCATTTTAAAAAAAAGAAAAAGAAGTAAATTAGAGTTGGTGCCTATTGTTTCAATTTTAATTTTAGATTTTAAGTTAAGTTTTAATTTGGTCATTCTGGTTAAATAGAATATTAAAATTCATCGAGACATTTTGATCACATTAGGGTACATGTACAAAAATCAACAATAATTTGAACATAATGATTAAACTGATATTAAACCTAAAGTTTAAGGTTAATATTGTTTAGATTAAAATGATAGAGACTAAAGTAAAATTTAAGTCAAATTACATGAATAATCACTACAACAAATAGCAGAATTGGCGACTAAAGTTTCTTTTTTCGTCGCTGAAAGTAGTAGAATTGGCGACTAAAATGGAATTAGTCGCCAAAATTGGTCACTTTTGCCGACTAAAACAGTTTAGTCGCCGAATACAAGGTTTTTAGCGACTAAAAGGCACTTTAGGCGCCGAATCTAGGGGTTTTAGCGACTAAAGGTAGTTTAGTCGCCGAATGTGACAGTTTTTGGCGACTAAAATAATTTAGTCGCCAAAAGTGATGGTTTTGGCGACTAAAAAACAGATTGGTCGCCGATTGTAGGTGTTTTGCCGACTAAAAACATATTGGTCGCTGAAAGTGAAGCTTTTTGGCTACCAAAAAAAAATTAGTAGCTAAAAACTGAGTATTGGCGACTAAAATTCAGTTTAGTAGCCAAAAGGTGACGTTTTTGGCGACTAAAAATAGGTTTAGTCGCCAAAACTGCATATTTTTAATTGGAACTAATTTTTTTAGCGACAAAAAAATCATTAGTAGCCCAAAATAATAGAATTGGCGACTAAATAATGGTTTTAGTCGCCAAAAGTGGCCTAAATTTTTTTTTAATAAATAATTTATTTTTTACATAATTTATATTGAATAAAAATAATTAAAAAAAGAAAAAGAAGTAAATTAGAGTTGGTGCCTATTGTTTCAATTTTAATTTTAGATTTTAAGTTAAGTTTTAATTTGGTCATTCTGTTTAAATAGAATATTAAAATTCATTGAGACATTTTGATCACATTAGGGTACATGTACAAAAATCAACAATAATTTGAACATAATGATTAAATTGATATTAAACCTAAAGTTTAAGGTTAATATTGTTTAGATTAAAATGATAGAGACTAAAGTAAAATTTAAGTCAAATTACATGAATAATCACTACAACAAATAGCAGAATTGGCGACTAAAGTTTCATTATACTTTCTCAATTTAATTTCACATTCTGATATGTACAACTTAATTTCTCAATAAGAATAAATTTGTTTTTTTGTTGTTGAGGCAAATTATATTCTTCATTCTTATAATTTGTTTATTGTATTAATTTTGTTTTTGTAGTTTCAATTGTATTAGTTTTGCCTTTTAATTTTTCACATTGAATCAATTTATTCCAATTGATGATAACATTATGCTTGGCTTCATGTTCTTTATGTTTCATTTGATGGTTAGTGCTTTGTTTTAAGATGATTGCCATTGTAATTTTGGACTTTGTTAGTGCTTTTGTTAGTGGTAACGCCCCGAAATCACCAAACAACTTCGAATTAGTACGAAACTTAGCACACACGATCACCTTGGCACGGGAGACTTGTGGGAGAAGACGGGACTCACATCGGGTTTCCGGTTTGGGAGTTAGAGCCGGATTTCACTTTAGGTAAACTAATTCTTTCAAAAACTTAGAATTCGAGGTGTTAACGCTCCAAAATCACCAAATGACATCGGATTAGCACAAAACTTGGCACACACGACCGCCTTGGCACGACAGACTTGTGGGAGAAAACGGACTCAAATTGGGTTCCCGGTTTGGGAGTTAAAGCCGGATTGCACTTTTAAGAAACAAACTAGTTTCTTAAGAAACTTAGAATTTGAGGTGTTAATGCCCCAAAATCACCAAACGGCGTCGGAGTAGCACGAAACTTGGCACACACGACCGCCTAGACACGGGAGACTTGTGGAAGAAGACGAGACTCCAATCAGGTTCCCAGTTTGGGAATTATAGCCGGATTTCACTTTAGGCAAACTAGTTCCATAAGAAACTTGAATTCGAAGTGTTGACGCCCCAAAATCACCAAACGGCATCAGTTTGATACGAAACTTGGCACACACGACCGCCTAGGCACGAGAAACTTGTGGGAGAAGACAGGACTCCAATCGGGTTCCCCGTTTGGGAGTTAGAGCTGGATTTCACTCTAGGCAAACTAGTTCCTTAAGAAACTTGAATTCGAAGTGTTGACGCTCCAAAATCACCAAACGGCGTCGGTTTCGCATGAAAGTTGGCACACACGACCGCCTAGGCACGAGAAACTTATGGGAGAAGACGGGATTTCAATCGGGTTCCCAGTTTGAGAGTTAGAGGCGGATTTCACTCTAGGCAAACTAGTTCCTTAAGAAACTTGAATTCGAAGTGTTGACGCTCCAAAATCACCAAACAGCGTCGGTTTCGCACGAAAGTTGGCACACACGACCGCCTAGGCACGAGAAACTTATGGGAGAAGACGGGATTTCAATCGGGTTCCCAGTTTGAGAGTTAGAGGCGAATTTCACTCTAGGCAAATTAGTTCCTTAAGAAATTTAAATTCGAGGTGTTGACGCCCTAAAATCACCAAACGGGATCAGATTAGCACGAAACTTGGCACACACGACCGCCTAGGCACACGAGACTTATGGAAGAAGACAGGGCTCGAATCGGGTTCCCGGTTTGGGAGTTAAAATCAGATTTCTATCTAGCCAAAGTTATTTACTTAATTATCTTTGTAATTATATAGTAGTTAATTTTTTACGTTTTTTTGTAATTAAAATATTAACACATAATTATATTGTCATTAATTATTTTTATTTTTTGTTTTTAGATATTTCCCCAGCAGCAGTTTGCTTCTTGTGGAATGCAGGCGTGTGAAGTTTGCGATTAACTTTTGTTTTTGTTACTCACAGAAGAATCATGACGAAAACTTTTATTTTTTATTTACGTTATGTTGAATTGTGAACAACATTATGTATTTAAACATTGACATTATGTAGTGGGATAATTTTGCTGATGTATTGTTATGAATGGAAGAATATTTTTATTATGGATGAATTGTTATTTTTATACTGAAATTTTTATATTATTATGTAATTATCGATTTATTTTTCAGTTATTTTTCATTTAATATAGGTAATTTTCATATTTTTAATAATTTTATTGCAATTTTTTTTTTTTTTTTGAGACGGCACCACACTGTCTCAAAAAACATTAGAACCAGATTGTTTTTGCGACATAAGCATTGCCGCCGCAAAAGATATTGGCAAAAGTTGAAAAAAACCTTTCGCGACGGTATTGTTTGCCGTCGCAAATAACCTTTAGAGACAGCGTTGTCGTGCTGTCTCAAATACACTTTTAGCGACGGCAGGTTACCCATCGCAATAAAACACTTTAGCAATGGAATTTTTGCCGTCGCAAATAACACTTTTAGCGACAGCAACACAGTGCCGTCTGAAAAAATTCCAAATTTTTACATAATAATGGCAACGGCAGAATTCCGTCGCAAAAAAAAGGCGACGGCATTATGCTGTTGCTAAAACCTTTTAGCAACGCTCTTTGTTGCGACCCCCCACTTGCCGTCACTAAAAGTCATCTATCGTCGCAAAAAAGTTTTTGAGACGGCATTTTGAGTATTTGCGACGGCATTTTGAGTATTTGTGACGGTATTTTGCCGTCGCAAAAAGTCAATTTTTTTGTAGTGACATAAAAATAGAATTTGTTGTAGTCCCTTCATTTTCAATAAAAAAATCACTATTGTCCTCATAAATTTAGAAATACCATTGACATTTTATTCTAAATATTATTTTTATTTAAAATTTTATTTATATACATATGTAAAAAATAAAATAAAATAAATCCAAAACCCAGGGGGCACATGACCCCCCGGCCTCCATGTGGCTCCACCACTACATGTATATATATATATATATATTACAAGAACAGTTGTAATATATTGAAACTAATTAGGAAAATAATTTGGAAACATATAAATTTTATATATATATACTACCAGAATGATGTGATAGCGATATTTTTGAAATACTAAGCACTTTAGCAGGTCTTTTGATTTGAAATGAAAGTATGCAAATTGATACATCATTTTAAATGGATTTTCCATATAATTTTAGTCAACGAATTAATATTGTGATTCCTTAAGATGAAGTTAAAACACCTAACAATTCTAACCCAAAGAGAGATGTTGTCTTAATCCATCAGGATTGATTTGTTTGCTTGGTGAGAATTTTTTTTTTTTTTTTTTTAGATTTCGGCCAATCACACGTTGCCACGTCACTGAGAGTGGCACTTAGAGTCGTCCGTATTAGGGGGTCCGTACTAGGGTCTGTAGCATTTCCCGGGTACCAAAAGGGGCTGATCCATATTTGAATATCAGGGGCTGATCCATATTTGATTGGATTATGACACTTTCGTACAATACACACAACCGTCTTCGTCCATAGATTCGTGGGTCAGTAAGTACTGTCTATGCAAGTAAATGATGGGATAAATTATTAATAAGATTTAATTTTTAAAAACAAATTTTAGTAAAAATGTTATTAAAAATAAATTTTTTTCGTAATGTTTTTTTACATATATTTCGAAAAATTGATAATTGATAATTTTTTTGGTCACGATTTTTATAAATTGTTTAAAATTTATAATTAGTGACTTTTTGTGACGAAAATTAAAAATTAGTGACTTTTTTGTAACTTTTTTGTAAATTAGCGATTTTTTTATGACGATTTTATTAAACTGTTGCTAAAAAATATAGGAAAATGCGTTGGAACCCCAGTGGGGGTGCTGGGGGTCCTTACTGATTGGTTGAATTTTTTTTTTTTTGGGACTTCAGCCACTGGCAGTGTGCCATGTGGCACTGGGGGGTGCTGGGGGTGCCCAGTCACTGGGGGTCCTTAGCATCACCCATATATATATATATATAGAGAGAGAGAGAGAGAGGAATTCACAAGTTTAAGTTTTTATTTTTATTTTTATGTTGATAAAAATTGTTATACTTTATATTTTTCATTTATACAAAAATGAAAGTAAAATAGAAAAAAGAAAATGAAGTGAGAGAATTATTTTTGGTTTGGTGAAGGAAATAGAAAAATGAATTAGATAAATGTAATCTTTTTTATAGTTAATTTCATTTTGTTCTTCCTAAATTCTTTTCCAAAAGTAGCATAAATATGGTAAAAAGGGCTTAATTAAATCTTATGCAATTATCATAAATATATGTAAATTGTTATTGTTTTCACTCAGTTTTCAAATAAAGTTTTATTTCTTACTTTTTCCCATTAATTAAAATTTAAGAAATAATTGTAACAATACTTAGATAGTATACAATAATAGAAAATAACTTTATCAACATAATTTAACACGTAACCAAAACATAATTTAAAAAATATTTACTTAGACAAATTAAAAAGCAAAACTTTAATCAAAATGATAATTTAGGATAGAAATCATGTGATTATTTGTTGATAAATTATTAATATAATTTTATTCCTAATTAAATAACTAAGTATATAAGGATCAAATTCTCTCATTATAAAAAGAAGAAAGGAAATTACACTTGTTAGACAAGTGGAAGATCATATCTTAGTAGAATCACTACAAGAAAAAGCACCTTTGGCGATTAAATTTTTAGTCGCCAAAAGTCCATTTTTAGTCGCCAAAAGTCGACTTTTTAGTTTTCCTGACTAAATTTTTTAGTCGCCGGTTTTGTCGCGAACACATGGTCGCCGGAGGTATTGGTGACTAAAAAAGTTTTAGTCGGCAAAAAATAGGTCTTTATCGACCAAAGTTTTGGTCGCCAATAGTCAGTTACACTTTTTTAAATTGTACATTTACCGACTAATCTTTTAGCCGTCAATAGTCAATGAATCGCCGACCAAATCTTTTAGTCGTCAAAAGAAACACTTTTAGCGACCAATAATTTTAGTCGCCAAAGCTCATTCCGTGAAAAAAATAAATAGATACTTCTCTTCCGTTGAGATTTGAACCACCAATCTCTCACATTCTAAACCTTAAGCAACACACTCTCTCCACTATGCCTCTACAACACCACATGATTATATATACAACATATATTATTTATATAGTATATTGACCCGTATTAATATAAAACTATATATATAAACATAATTATTTTTATTCAATATAATTTATGTAAAAAATAAATTATTTACTAAAAAAAACTTCCTAAATTCTTTTCCAAAAGTAGCATAAATATGGTAAAAAGGGCTTAATTAAATCTTATGCAATTATCATAAATATATGTAAATAAAATATATAACTTAAAATTGTTATTGTTTTCACTCAGTTTTCAAATAAAGTTTTATTTCTTACTGTTTCCCATTAATTAAAATTTAAGAAATAATTGTAACAATACTTAGATAGTATACAATAATAGAAAATAACTTTATCAACATAATTTAACATGTAACCAAAACATAATTTAAAAAATATTTACTTAGACAAATTAAAAAGCAAAACTTTAATCAAAATGATAATTTAGGATAGAAATCATGTGATTATTTGTTGATAAATTACTAATATAATTTTATTCCTAATTAAATAACTAAGTATATAAGGATCAAATTCTCTCATTATAAAAAGAAGAAAGGAAATTACACTTGTTAGACAAGTGGAAGATCATATCTTAGTAGAATATAAACAAATCGATCAATCATTTTGCATTATGAAACAAAAATAATCAAATTTTCTCTTTTTTCTCCCTTCTTAAAATCCAAATTAAAGAACTGATCCCAATACCCCCAAATCATGCTTTTGCTATTTTATAATTCTTAATGTTTTGTCTTGTTTTATGTTTATTTTATGTTTGAATAAAAAATTCCCCACTTTCTAGTTTTTTCTCCACTCATTCAATTATAATTTATACATACATATATATATATATATATACTTTTTCTAAGGTTGTATTAATCAATAGAGGACAATTATTTTCATGCCAACTCATCCTATTTCCACAATTAATCAATATGGGATTCGTGCTTGAATTTAAAATTTATAATAAAAAATTGTGAAAGGAAAATAAAAAAATAATAAAAATAATAAGATTTTATAAATTTCTTTTCTTTCTTTTTTTTTCCTTTGCAAATTTCTTCATATTTTTAGGATTCAAGCCTTATAATAAAAAAGAGTCAAAAGAGAGTGACAGATTGTTTGATCACTTGTGATGAGAATTGGCTTCATCATATTGTTAACATTTTAATTGAAAAGCACAGTTAAAATTCAGGTATTAAAAAGAGAGAAATTGAAACTTTATAACTAATATAGATGAGACAACTTCAGGCAATGTGTGGGGCAACTTCAAGCAATGTGGGATACATTCCAACACATCCAAATTATGACACCCAAGCGATGTATGAGACAACTCCAAGTGATGTGGGACGCGTTCCAACACACCTTTCTGCATCAAGACATACACTAGTCGGACAAACGGTACACCGGTCACATTCTCAACCAAGCTCTAATACCAAATTGAAAAACTCAGTTCACTCTCTCCTTAAAACTTAAGTATTAAGAAAAGGGAAACTGAAACCTTATAACTAATACAAATGGAATAATTTTAACCAATGTGAAACACATTCTAACAATTTCACACGATTTATCAATTCACGTATGTTAAATTATCTTTCAAAAAATCAAAAAAAAAAAATAAGATCCCATTATTTTAATTAATGAATTAAAGTATCACATAAATTTATCTTAAAATCATAAAATAAAAATTTATCACAAAATATTTTTTTCAGGTTTGTGGTGCCCAGATCACGTGCCAGACAGTCCATTGAAACTCTAACTTTTATGCTGATCATGGTCAAATCCAAACCACTACAAGACAAAGTGCCACACGTGTATAACAATGCACCCTAAAAAAAAATTAAGATAAATTATAAATACATTTATTGAGTTCTTAAAACACAACACCTTGTTTGTTTCTACTTTTCAAAAAACACTTTTTAAAAAATTATATTTTCTTATTTTTCGTATTTTTTTGTTTTTACTGATTTTTTTTAATATTTTAAGTAATTTTTTTTACTTTTTAGACACACCTAACATAAATACACCTAAAAAGTAAAAAAAATTGTAAAATCTTTTTTTAAAAAATTTACTAAATACCAAAAATACAAAAAAAAAATATAAGAATTCAGTACATTTTTTTATATTTTTATATATTTATTAATTTTTTAAAATTTTTTTCACAAATTTTTTACTTTTTAGATACATCTAAGTAAGATATATCTAAAAAAGTAAAAAAAAAATGTTTAAAAGAGAGATAAAATCATCATTATCTTCACCAATTTGAAAATTGTTTGGTATCTTATTGTTTATATTAAGGAAATAACACATCAGTGT